TCTATCAAATTTTAGAGAAGAGCTAACACCTATCCTTCTCAAACCCTTCCCAAAAATTGCAGAGGGAGGAACACTTCCAAACTCATTCTATGAGGCCACCACCACCATGATATCAAAACCAGACAAAGATATCACACAAAAAAAGAAAATTACAGGCCAATATCACTGATGAACATAAACGCAAAAATCCTCAACAAAATACTAGCAAACCGAATCCAACAACACATTAAAAGGACCACATGCCATGATCAAGTAGGATTTATCCCAGGGATGCAAGGACTCTTAAATACATGCAAATCAATCAATGTGATACACCATATTAACAAATTGAAGGACAAAAACCATATGATCATCTCAAGAGATGTAGAAAGAGCTTTTGACAAAATTCAACACCCATTTAAGATAAAAAAACCTCCAGAATGTGGGCATAGAGGGAACTTACCTCAACACAATAAAGGCCATATATGAAAAACCCACATCAAGCATTATTCTCAATGGTGAAAAACTGAAAGCATTTCCTCTAAGATCAGGAACAAGACAAGGGTGCCCACTCTCGTCACTATTAGACAACATAGTTTTGGAAGTCCTAGCCACACCAATCAGAGAGGAAAAAGAAATAAAAGGAATACAAACTGGAAAAAAATATGTAAAACTGTAACTCTTTGCAGATTACATGATAATATACCTAGAGAATCCTAAAGATGTCACTAGAAAACTACTAGAGCTAATCAATGAATTTAGTAAAGTTGCACGATACAAAATTAATACACAGAAATCTCTTGCATTCCTATACACTAACAATTAAAGATCAGAAAGAGAAATTAAGGAAACAATTTCATTCACCATTGCAAAAAAAAAGAATAAAATATCTAGGAATAAACCTACCTAAGGAGGCAAAAGACCTGTACTCAGAAAACTATAAGATACTGATGAAAGAAATAAAAAAAGACACAAACAGATGGAGAGATATACAATGTTCTTGAATTGGAAGAATCAATATTGTGAAAATGACTATAATACCCAAAGCAATCTACAGATTCAATGCAATCCCTATCAAATTACCAATGGCATTTTTCACAGAACTAGAACAAAAATTTTTTACAATTTGTATGGAAACACAAAAGACCCCAAAGCCAAAGCTATCTTGAGAAAGAAAAAAGGAGTTGGAGGAATCAGGCTCCCTGACTTCAGACTATACTACAAAGCTACAGTAATCAAGACAGTATGGTACTGGCACAAAAACAGAAATATAGATCAATGGAACAGGATAGAAAGCTCAGAGATAAACCCATGCACCTACAGTCACCTTATTTTTGATAAAGGAGGCAAGAATATACAGTGGAGAAAAGACAGTCTCTTCAATAAGTGGTGCTGGGAAAACTGGACAACTACATGTAAAAGAATGAAATTAGAACACTCCCTAACACCATACACAAAAATAAACTCAAAATGGGTCAAATATCTAAATGTAAGGCCAGACACTATAAAACTCTTAGATGAAAACATAGGCAAAACATTCAATGACATAAATCACAGAAAGATCCTTTTTGACCCACCTCTTAGAGAAATGGAGATAAAAACAAAAATAAACAAATGGGAAGGACCTAATGAAACTTCAAAGCTTTTGCACAGCAAAGGAAACCATTAACAAGACCAAAGGACAACCCTCAGAATGGGAGAAAATATTTGCAAATGAAGCAACTGACAAAGGATTAACCTCCAAAATATACAAGCAACCCATGCAGCTCAATATGAAAAAAACAAACAACCCAATCCAAAAATGGGCAGAAGACCTAAACAGACATTTCTCCAAAGAAGACATGCAGATTGCCAACAAACATATGAAAGGATGCTCAACATCAGTAATTATTAGAGAAATGCAAATCAAAACTACAATAAGGTATCACCTCACACCAGTCAGAATGGCCATCATCAAAAAATCTACAAACAATAAATGCTGGAGAGGATGTGGAGAAAAGGGAACCCTCTTGCACTGTTGATGGGAATGTAAATTGATAAAACCACTATGGAGAACAGTATGGAGGTTCCTTAAAAAACTAAAAATAGAACTGCCATATGACCCAGCAATCCCACTACTGGGCATATACTGAGAGAAAGCATAATGCAAAAAGACACATGACATGCACCCCAATGTTCATTGCAGCACTATTTACAATAGGCAGGACATAGAAGCAACCTAAATGTCCATCAACAGAGGAATGGATAAAGAAGATGTGGTACATATATATAATGGAATATTACTCAGCCATAAAAAGGAATGAAACTGGGTCATTTGTAGAGACGTGGATGGACCTAGAGACTGTCATACAGAGTGAAGTAAGGCAGAAAGAGAAAAACAAATATCATATATTATCCCATATATGTGGATTCTTAAAAAATGGTATAGATTATCTTATTTGTGAAGCAGAAATAGAGACACAGACGTAGAGAACAAATGTATGGATACCAAAGGGGAAAAGGGTGTGGGTAGGATGAATTGTGAGATAGGGATTGACATATATACACTATTGATACTATATATAAAATAGATAACTAATGAGAACGTACTGTAAAGCACAGGGAACTCTACTCAATGCTCTGCGGTGACCTAAATGGGAAGGAAATCCAAAAATGAGGGCATATATGTATATGTATAGCTGATTCACTTTACAGCAACTATACCCCAATAAAAATTTTTCAAAGAAGAAACCAAAATAATTTTTTTAGTTTCTTAATCTCTTTTATTTTATTTTTTAATTGAAGTATAGTTGATTTACAATGTTGTGTAAGAAACCAGAATATTATCAGTGTCCCAGAAGACTCTATTGTGTCCCTTTTTTTTTAACAGCCTGACCTTTGAGAGTAACTACAGTTGACTTTTAGCATCATAGACTTTGGGGGGTTTGTACTAACCACTATATAATTGAAATTGTATAGTATGTAATCTTTTGTGTCTGAATTCTTTTGCTCAACATTATATTTGTAAAATTGATTTATACTGTTGCATATAGTTGTTTGTTGGTTCTCATTACCATTGTATAAATATGCCAGTATTTAATAATCTACTATAAAGAATTTATTAATTTTACAATAAAAGCACAATGGCTGTAAATAAATAAATAAATACATAAATAAAAGTCATGAAAAGCAATTCAGCCAAATTTCATAAGACTAGCTAGAGAAATCCCACCATAAGCTGCTCAACAGAGTTTTCTAAGTAGCTTGCTCCTCTTCATCATTCCATTTAAAATTTGGAAATTAGGGCTTCCCTGGTGGCGCAGTGGTTAAGAGTCCACCTGCCGATGCAGGAGACATGGGTTCGTGCCCTGGTCCGGGAAGATCCCACATGCCGCGGAGTGGCTAGGCCCGTGAGCCATGGCCACTGGGCCCGTGCGTCCAGAGCCTGTGCTCCGCAACGGGAGAGGCCACAACAGTTAGAGGCCCGCGTACCGCAAAAAAAAAAAAAAAAAAATGGAAATTTACCCATAGGCCATCAGGAGAACATCTGTATACCTTTGAAGAGAAAGAACATAACTATGAATGGAAGTGAAGAAATAATTCTATTCCCAGTCCTTGTCAATATTCATATCCTGACCTTCACTGCAGTTATTCTGGTTCTCGAGTTCATTTAAAGAGTTTAACTGCTTATAATGAATTTACTCAATCAGATAATGATTGAGTAAAAAATACAGTCATTCTACTCATTTATTTTTTTAACTTTAAGTCTTAACTAAGAGTCCAAGTTAAGTGGAAGTAAAAGGAAAATACAGTTGTCACTTTATAGAGACTGGCTAAATGATTTTATACTTTTGATCCTTCATCAAAGCATATTCTTAAGAACCTCATTTTATAATACTTCCCTGTTGTTTTCTTCTACTTCCAGAAGTCGAACTTTCAAAATGTATGAATCACTGAGGAGGTTCATCACTCATCTTTATTTCACAGGGCTTTCTGCTAACATAATTCAGCCACAAAAGGATTAAATGCTTCCAAGAATGAAAATCGCATAACTGACAAGTGCGAAGTGGCTCTCTCTTACCTTAGCATCTTTTTTGAGTAATTACTTCACTGAATGTTCTACCAGAAATGAGTTAGGCGGTTCCTGAGCCATGCAGAGGGTGATGTATAGATGATATTATGTCTTTTGACACGTGACACTAAGGCTAAAACATTTAACTTGATGGATATATAGTATTTCTACAGGCTGGTGGTATTCCCTGAGGAATTTCTAAATGTCCCAGTGAATCTATAACCTTCCCTCAATACCTTGAAGCACTTATAGAACCAGGGATTTCCCAGAGCAGAGCACCCTCTTTGCTGATACATCTATGGAATTACAGAATTTCTGAGCTGGAAAAGATCTAGGAAAGCCCCCATAATGACAAATCTTCTTTAAACAGGGTACAAATAAATATCTAGTCTAGTCCTCTCAATTTCCAGATGAGGTAAAGTGACGGGTCCAAGGTCACTGCAAATAGCTTGACTTCTTCCATTTTAATTCAGTTCTCTTCCCACCGTTGACACTGCCCCTGATTTGAGAGTAAGCCAAAGGATATGTCATACTCTCCTTAGTAGGTAGGCTATCCATCTATATGGAATATTCTAGAGGATTGCCTGCTCTGATTAGTTTTATGTAGTATGAAATTAATTTGCATCGTAAAGAAGAACTCAAACAGGAGTATATAGGAAAGGACCCTTCCCCAGAGTCTATGCCCTGTGGCTCCCAGTCACTGAGTCAGCCAGGTGGACTACAAGGAACAGAAAAGGTATGTGTGCGGGAGGGAGTATATTACCAGGCAAGTTTAAAATTTCTCAATTGGCTATTTATAAAGTTCACATTTTTATATCAAATATAACTCACAATATACTTTACCAAGTTTTTACATTTTAAAATATAGGTCCACCTGCAAGAATCTGGTATTTACTTAACAAGCTGCTCTTCTTAAAAATGATGCAGAACATCTCTTGAGTTTTGACATGAAATGGATATAATTACCTACCCTTCTCTCCTTTCTGGCCTTTTGGACCTTGGGGTCCAGTGACTCCTGGTGGCCCTAGGATCCCCATACCACCAGCTTCTCCCTTAAAACCTGGAAATGAGATTTAAAAACCATCAGGGTAGAAAAATTCTCTTTTGAAATTCATTACTTCCAAAAAAATCAGTCATTTTATTGAGGCCAATGACTGTCAGTATCCTAATGATAAAATCTGGGTGAGAATAAACTATTACAGAGTTCTAAGGACAATATTTTTTGTCTGATTTGCAATTTTGCACTACCTGAATAGATAAATTGAGCCCATTAGTACTTGTCACTGAATTCATGGCAGTGATCAAATGATTCAGAGAAGCAGTACTATATCAAACAACAAGAAAAGATGATTATCTGACTCTTAACCTCATGTGGACCACACTTTCAAATTGGAAGTAAAACCACAATCCCTAGCACTTTTGGTTTTCCCATTCCTTCACTTATATACTCATTCAGGAAAAATTGCTGAGTCCCCCTACACACCAAGCATCCTGATAGGTGTCAGGAATCAGCCATCAACATTCCAGCAGTCCCTTCCCTCATGGAGCTGAGAGTCCAAGAAAGATAAACATGAACAAATAACCACACAAATAAATAGAAATGGCCACACTGTTGTTAGTTATGTAAAGAAAAGAGAAAGTTCCTATTGTAGATGGTGGTTTAAAAAAAAACTCATTTATGGGATCAGAGGATACCTCCTGGAAAAAAATGTCATTAAGCTAAGACCCAATGAACAAATTAGAAATTTCTGAGACAAAGAAAAAAAAAAAAAAAACCATGGATGAGTATTTCAGGAAAAACAAGAGTAGAAAAGACCATGGTGTTTTTAAGAAACTGAAAGAAGAGCACCATGGGCGGAGCTAGCGATCAGGGTAAAAGAGGCTGAGGGGCAGGGGAGGGGCAGATGGTGCAGGACTCAGACCTCACTGGTGTCCTCGCTCATCCCAGCAGCCCAGGTCCCTTCCACTTACCTGGGCCACACAGACACCCAAGCCTAGGACAGTTATCGTTCCTGCAACCCCAGCCCTGTTCAAGCTTGATTGGAATAATTTATGGCCAGGTTCTTTGAAAGTTAACCATATAAATAAGTACACTCAATTAAATTGTAATCTTTCATCTTAATTATTATAATTAAGTTGATGGGATGGAGAAAATTATTTTCAATCTGTTGAATTTCCTCTTTGAAAGAACGCTGTATTTGTTTAGATGAAAAGCTTTAATAAATTGCATGCAATGGAGGTTAAGGCTGAAGGCAAGTTTAAGAAGCCAAAGTGGTGGTTAAGCTCTTCTGTCTAAAAAAGAAGGAAGAGCAGAGAGGAAAGGAATGGAGAACAAAGAGCAGGGGAGGCAGAAGCAAGCAAAATGATCAATTACAGTTCACTGTGCAGTGACCCCCCTTCCTCACGACCCCCAAATGCCCAATGTGGTTATGAGGGAAATGCACAGGGAGCACACAGCAACTGCCTGCAAGGGCACAAGGGGCAGGCAGGCTGCCCCTTCCATCTAGGCAGGGTGTACATCTTGGTTAGTTTAGTGTAAATATCGGAAGCCTGGACCTAATGGAAGAGCTGGGGCTGGAGGGTGCACACACCGAGTTTGACACGAGGTTCTATACTCTCAGGTGCTATAACCTTTAGAATTACCTGAAACTCTCTGAAACGCAATTAAATTATGCACTGAAATGTAATAATATTTTAATCATTTTCTACAAAGATGAGAAACAACATAAAGTGCTTAACAGTTATTGGCACATAGTAGGTAGCTATTATATAACTGAATTAATGAGAGAAGCTGGAGATAAAATTTCAAATGGAATTTTACCTTTACGAGCTATTAGATAGAGCTGAGCTGTATACTTCAAAACACTTTCATTCAGAAAGTCTGTAAAATTAGGCTCATAACTTTTAAAGTCTACATTTATTATTCACATTACAGTAGATAACATAAATGTGATGTATGTACTATGTGTGTTAATTAATGTATGTAATAAGCTGAGCTCTAAGAACAGTGCAGCTAAATCCACCACTGGGTAAGACAAAAGCCCTGATGCTATGACTTATAAGACAGTTTAGCAACCAGCTGTGTTTACATGACCCCCTCCCGCTCCCCACTAGCAGCTTGCCAGACATGATACTAAGAGAAATCCTGGTAAATATAATTTTCTCAGTCTAATTAGATCTCCAGTAATGTTTTGGCAAGCCTGAAATCTTGGTTCCCCAGACCCCTGCCCAGCTTCTTTCCCATTCAATACCACCTCCACATAAACACTGATCACATTTCCCAAAAGCTTCCTGAAATGGGATGAAATAAATGAAAAGCTTAATGAGGATGCAGAATTCCTGATTTTATAACTTTAAATTCTTCAGGCAAGACACAACAAATATTTATATGTAATCCTTTCAGGGAAGAGTGGATTTGAAATTGACATTCTGATCTCACTTTTTCCTTGAATTCTCTGCTGTAGGACATGTGAAAGCTGAACTGTATTACAATAAAAGTGAGAATATATTCATACTGTATACATGAAAGACATCTGAAATTTTGAAATATTTAACCATGACGTTCAATGGAGAAAACTGCTGGGCAAGGAGACTGTGTTGCCTCAGAATTTCAATGAGAAGTGAACTGAATCCTGCCTTTATTCTCCACCTCACAGGCATTCCATTTCTAATCCTAACTGCAAGTAGAACTCCAAAACCCCATCAGTCAGTATACATTCTTACCAGACCACAGAATTTTCACTTACCCTATTTACATCAGCCATTAATGAAAAGATTGTGTAACTGAAAGGACTACACACCAGTGCTAGGGTTGGTAGGCCAGTCTCTGCTCTAACCAGCACCATCCAGTAGAACTTTCTGCAATTATGGAAATGCTCTATATCTGTGCTGCCCACTGGCCACACGTGGCTACTGAGCACTTCAAATGGGACCCGTGTGACTGAGGAATTTAATTTTTAATCTCATTTAACTTTAATATTAATAGCCATACATGGGACTCTGGCTACCCCACTGGGCAACAGAACCCATTGCATTTGTCACAGTGTTACACCTAGGCTTGTCCCATTCGCATGACAATGTAGAAACCCTTGGGGCAATTCCACCACCAAACCACCACCTCTCAACTCTAAAGATGTACAAGTGAGAAATATAGGGCCTCGTATATTTTCAAATACCTGGTTTTCCAGTCTCTCCAGGTTCTCCTTTTTGCCCTGGTCCAGATGAACAACAATCACAGCAATTCAAGAAGAAATCAGCCGTGTCAAGAGTGAGGTTTTCAGAGGGGAAGAGGGTGGCAGCACCAAAGACAGAATTGAAAGCTGAGGGGTCAGGGGTTGGTTCTGCCATTTCAGCTGCTTCTGTGAAGGGAGTTTCTTCTTCTTCTGGAGGTTGGCCACTGGATGGCTTTGGACCCTTTGGCATCTCTTTTCCCTCAGACTTCTTCGTGAATTTGGTATATGGTGTGGTCTTTACTATTGTGTCCACACCAGCAACAGCCAAGATAATTAAAATGGCACAAAACCAAGAAAATATCCACATATTTGAGGCTGGAAGAAAGATATAATGGGAATATATACATATATTACAAACAAAAAGACAAAGTGATATAGATATATTCTTATATGAGAGGAATATATATACATATATGAACCATAAGAATGAACAGTATGCATAATACTAAATGATTTTTATACATTTCATATGTAAATGTATGCTTGATTCACAACGGAATATTTTATTTACTTAAAGTATTTATTGTAAGGAACATTTTGCTTCAATTCTCCTTTCTGGTTGTTTTCCCAGTGTTACATGTACTAAAATATTGTTCTCAATCGTTAAAATTATCTTGCCAAAAAGCAAACATGATCTATAATAAATGCAACATGACTTAATAGCTCATATACCCTGTGGAAAACAAATATGAATAAAATCATGACTGACTTCACCCAGATTTATAGGAATCAAATACATCTGTATTAGAGGGAGATGAAAAATATTGAGCTGAATTGTTTATTTCAGCAAACTCAATTATTTCAAGAAAAAATACTGGTAAAAAAAGTCCTTAAATCTACTCAGGATAATGGTCTTGTTATGAGAACAATCTTTTAGAATCTGTTGTAATAAATAGAGAGAGAGAATAAAAAATCATAAATTTAAAAATGTGTTATGTCTTCAGATTCTTCACATGCCATTTAACTCTCCAATTCTTTGCTTTATACTTTAAGGGTTTTTCTGCAAACTCACATTTATCTTTGTATTATTTTAATGGGCCAAATAGTGGTTATTCTTATTAAGGCTTTTATCACTGTTCAAAGGGATATAAGGTTCCTGATGAAATGAAATTTTGAGAGCTCATAATATTCCATTCCCCAGAAACTCCCAGTAGTCCAGTGGCTGTTAACAGATAGCCAGGGTTGGAAATGCATTTTCTGATTGGAAAAGGAAGGAATGTTTAAGATAAACAGTAAGAGAGAAAAGAGAATGGAAATAAGGATAGTAACAACATCTACTATTTATAGAATCCCTACAAAGAGTAGGTGCCTTATATTCATCAATCCAATCTGTTCTCAAAACAGCTCTGCCAGGTAGACAACACTCTCACTCACCTTCACTGATGAGGAAAGAGGCACCAGGTGGTTACATACCTTGTTCAAGACCACACAACCCACAAGTTATTAAGTCAGAACTTAAATCCATGTCTGAATAATATCAAAGCCTCAACCATAGGACCTTCAAGATGGCAGGGAAGTAAGATGTGGAGATCAACTTCCTCCCCACAAATACATCAAAAATACATCTACATGTGGAACAACTCCTACAGAACACCTACTGAATGCTGGCAGAAGCCCTCAGACTTCCCAAAAGGCAAGAAAATCCCCATGTATCTGGCCGTGGGGCTGACAGGGTCTTGGTGCTCTGGCTGGGTGCCAAGCCTGTGCCTCTGAGGTGGGAGAGCCAAGTTCAGGACACTTTTCCACCAGAGACCTCCTGGCCCCACGTAATATCAATTGGTAAGAGCTCTCCCAGAGATCTCCATCTCAACATTAACACCCAGTTCCACTCAACGATCAGCAAGCTCAAGTGCTGGAAACCCCACGCCAAACAACTAGCAACACAGGAACACAATCCCACCCATTAGCACAGAGGCTACCTAAAATCATACTAAGTTCACAGACACCCCAAAACACACAACTGGATGCAGTCCTGCCCACCAGAAAATTCCAGCCTCATCCACAAGAACACAGGCTTTAGTCCCCTCCACCAGGAAGCCTACACAACCCACTGAACAAACCTTACCCACTGGGGCAGACACGAAAAATCGTGGGAACTATGAACCTGCAGCCTACTAAAAGGAGGCCCCAAATGCAGTAACTTAAGCAAAATGAGAAGACAGAGAAATACACAACAGATAAAGGAGCAAGGTAAAAACCCACTAGACCAAAAAAAAATGATGAGGAAATATGCAGTCTACCTGAAAAAGAATTCAGAGTAATGATAGTAAAGATGATCCAAAATCTTAGAAATAGAATGGAGAAAATACAGGAAACGTTTAACAAGGACCTAGAAGAACTAAAGAGCAAACAAACAATTATGAGCAACAAAATAAATGAAATTAAAAATTCTCCAGAAGAAATCAGTAGCAGAATAACTGAGCCAGAAGAACAGATAAGTGACCTGGAAAATAACATAGTGGAAATAACTACCACAGAGAAGGAAAAAGAATGAAAAGAATTGAGGACAGTCTCAGAGACCTCTGGGGTAACATTAAACTCACCAACATTCGAATTATAGGGGTCCCAGAGGAAGAAAAGGAAAAGAAAGGGACTGAGAAAATATTTGAAGAAATTATAGTTGAAAACTTCCCTAATACGGGAAAGGAAATAGTAAATCAAGTCCAGGAAGTGCAGAGAGTCCCATACAGGATAAATCCAAGGAGAAACACACCAAGGCACATATTAATAAAACTATCAAAAATTAAATACAAAGAAAAAATACTAAAAGCAGCAACGGAAAAGCAACAAATAACATACAAAGGAATCCCCAAAAAGTTAACAGCTGATCTTTCAGCAGAAACTCTGTAAGCCAGAAGTGAGTGGCAGGATATACTTACAGTGATGAAAGGGAAAAACCTACAATGAAGATTACGCTACACAACAAGGATCTCATTCCGATTCAACAGAGAAATTAAAACCTTTATAAACAAGCAAAAGTTAAGAAAATTCATCACCACGAAACCAGCTTTACAACAAATGCTAAAGGAACTTCTGTAGGCAGGAAACACAAGAGAAGGAAAAGACCTACAATAACAAACACAAAAAAATTAAGAAAATGGAAATAGGAACATACATATCGATAATTACCTTAAATGTAAATGGATTAAATGCTCCAACCAAAAAACAGAGACTGGCTGAATGGATACAAAAACAACATCCATATAAATGGTGTCTACAAGAGACCCATTTCAGACCCACTTCAGACACATACAGACTGAAAGTGAGGGGATGGAAAAAGATATTCCATGAAAATGGAAATCAAAAGAAAGCTGGAGTAGCAATACTCGTATCAGACAAAATAGACTTTAAAATAAAGACTATTAGAAGAGACAAAGAAGGACACTACACAATGATCAAGGGATCAATCCAAGAAGATATAAAAATTGTAAATATTTACGCACCCAACATAGGAGCACCTCAATACATAAGGCAAATGCTAACAGCCATAAAAGGGGAAATTGACAGTAACACAATAATAGTAGGGGACTTTAACACCTACTTTCACCAATGGACAGAAAAGCCAAAATGCAAATAAATTAGGAAACAAAAGCTTTAAATGATACATTAAACAAGATGGACTTAATTGATATTTATAAGACATTCCAACCAAAAACAACAGATACACTTTCTTCTCAAGTGTTCATGGAACATTCTCCAGGATAGACCACATCTTGGGTCACAAATCAAGCCTTGGTAAATTTAAGAAAGTTGAAATCATATCAAGTATCTTTTCTGACCACAACGCTATGAGACTAGTTAACAATTACAGGAAAAAAACTGTAAAACATACAAACACATGGAGGCTAAAAAATACACTACTAAAAAACCAAGAGATCACTGAAGAAATCAAAGAGGAAATCAAAAAATACCAAGAAACAAATGACAGTGAAAACACAATGACCCAAAACCTATGCGATGCAGCAAAAGCAGTTCTAAGAGGGAAGTTTACAGCAATACAATCCTACCTCAAGAAACAAGAAACATCTCAAATAAACAACCTAACCTTACACCTAACAATTACAGAAAGAAGAACAAAAAAACCCCAAAGTTAGCAGAAGGAAAGAAATCATAAAGATCAGATGAGAAATAAATGAAAAAGAAATGAAGGAAATGATAGCCAAGATCAATAAAACTACAATCTGGTACTTTGAGAAGATAAACAAATTTGATAAACCATTAGCCAGACTCATCAAGAAAAACAGGGAGAAGACTCATATCAACAGGATTAGAAATGAAAAAGGAGAAGTAACAATTGACACTGAAGAAATACAAAGGATCATGAGAGATTACTACAAGCAACTATATGCCAATAAAATGGACAACCTGGAAGAAATGGACAAATTCTTAAAAAACACAACCTTCCAAGACTGAACCAGGAAGAAACAGAAAATATAAACAGACTAATCACAAGCACTAAAATTCCAACTGTTATTAAAAATCTTCGAACAGACAAAAGCCCAGGACCACATGGCTTCACAGATGAATTCTGGCAAACATTTAGACAAGAGCTAAAACCTATCCTTCTCAAACTCTTCCAAAATATAGCAGAGGGTAGAACACTCCCAAACTCATTCTATGAGGCCACCATCACCCTGATACCAAAACCAGACAAAGATGTTTCAAAAAAAGACAACTACAGGCCAATATCACGGTTGAACATAGATGCAAAAATCCTTACCAAAATACTAGAAAACAGAATCCTGAAGCACATGAGAAGGATCATACACCATGATCAACTGGGGTTTACCCCAGGAATTCAAGGATTCTTCAGTATAGGCAAATCAATCAATGTGATAAACCATATTAACAAACTGAAGGAGAAAAACCATATGATCATCTCAATAGATGTAGAAAAAGCTTTTGACAAAATTCAACACCCATTTATGATAAAAACTCTCCTGAATGTAGGCATAGATGGAACTTGCTACAACATAATAAAGGCCATATATGACAAACCCAAAGTCAACATCATTCTCAATGGTGAAAAACTGAAACCATTTCCACTAAGGTCAGGAACTAGACAAGGTTACCCACTCTCATCACTCTTATTCAACATAGTTTTGGAAGTTTTAGCCACAGCAATCAGAGAAGAGAAAGAAATAAAAGGAATCCAAATCGGAAAAGAAGAAGTAAAGCTGTCACTGTTTGCAGATGACATGATACTATACATACAGAATCCTAAAGATGTTACGAGAAAACTACTAGAGCTAATCAATGAATTTGGGAAAGTAGCAGGATACAAAATTAATGCACAGAAATCTCTCGCATTCCTA